CTAATAACAGCAAATTCCTACAACGAAGGAGATAAAGACCCAGTGACCTTTTGAAGATGTTTCAGCACCAGATGGATTCACATCTGGAGCTCTATGTAAAAAATGCCAGGATCTTTCAGCTGTCTTTTCAGCAGTCAGATGTGCCTGTCTTCTGGGTCTCAATTCCTCTCTGCCAGCTTTCAACCAGAAGACAAGTTCCCATGTTTTTCCCTGTATTTACCATGTTACTGAGCCAATGTATTGGTTTTCCAGTATGCCAACAGTCTACCCCACTGGAGCCCAGGCCTGCCCAGTGCCAGCTTCCCTATCCATGCACTGCCCTGTGTCTCTTCACAAGCTGCCACAGTTCTACAGCAGTTTGACACCCTACTGTGGGCTCTCTACATCCCCTCCATAATCACACCACATCAGTGTGACAAGCTCAATACAGACTTTTCCACCAGCATGGCAGCAGCTAATTAAGGTCACAGTGCTCACAAACAGTTTCTGTAGGCCCATCATGATGTCATAGGTTGTGCCATCTCCTTCAGCAGAGCAAAAGTGTAATTAATGTATCAGCAGATCCTCAAAGCCAACCACTGTTGTGTAGCCTCCCAAGGCACACTAAGAAGGGAATAGATTTGCAGCCAGCTATGGATGCTGCTCTTTTCCCTCTACAGTGAAGGAACCAGAACTGCTATCACAGAACAGGGCTGATTTTACAATAATTTTCTCCCTCTTCAACAACAGTTCTGTAATCCCTGCAGTGTTGAAATGCCTATCAGCAGCTGAACCTAGGAGCAGCAATACAGCTCCTATACTGCATGTAATTAGTACCTCCCAGTCTGGGTTCACCTGAAGGGTTCTGTCTCAAGCAGCCATGGCCATTGACCCTGCAGTCCCTGACAAGTCAGTCCAAGCCTGCCCATCTAGTGCACCCAGCAATGAGCTCTGCCTCCCTGCAGGGCTCCCCTGATGCGCACCCTGGTACATGCTGTGCAGGGGTCACCCATATTTGCAACTGAAGCTAAAATCAAGAGCAAGGTTCAACCACCTAAGCATGCAAACTTCACACAAATCTTAATAGGAACTATGCAAAAAGAGGCATGCAGGACAGATTTTTTTTAATTTTAATTCAACCCAATACACTTGAAAATAGCTTTGCTTCTTGTTTTTTTAAATATTATTCCTCCAGCCTGAATCATAAGCATGATTACTGCACCTATTACTGCAAGCTGTCATTACCAGCACATTTTCCAGTTAATTCTGACCTCTACAATTACTGACTTCACTTACTTACATCGTGTACTATCAAAAACAACCTCATAACCCTGTGCTGAGGGATGTCTCACTTATTTCTTGAATGACATTTTTAAAAGGAAAATAGAAATGATAAAATGTCTAGACTGTTACATTAAATACTGTCAAATCATAACTTTGGGTAATTATTTTTTGTTTTTCCTTCTCTTTACTTTTAACCCCCACATTGGACAGTTTTAAGTCTCAGCCTGACAGGGTGCTGAGCCATCTCATATAAACTATAGTAGAACCTAGAAAGGTTGGACAAGATGATCCTTAAGGTCCTTTCCAACCTGACATTATCACAGAAGTGAAATAACAGGAGTAGTGTAATATCCCAAATAATTCACATATTTCAGTATGCAAACATCTCACCAGACACATTCATTTCAGTATTTTCTTTGCCATGGTTGCTAGCACCCTCAACTTCCAAATGGGTTATATGGTGCTCTGAACTTCCGACACGATCTTGAAGGAACTATGTGTGTCCTGACACTGGAATACACAAGTTTTAAGACTTGTTTTCAGAAATGTTTTTAGCATGTTCCTGGCAACCTTCCCACCACACCCCTACCTTTCAATAACATCCCTCAGATCAAACACGATTTTGCTGGCTGGCTATTGGCAAAGACACCAAAAGCCAGGTGCATCTGCAGACAGTGTGAAGAGAGTTCTGCTGAATAGTTAAGGGCAATTGCATCCACTTCCACGGAAGGGTGTGAACCTGCCCTCAGGTTGAGAAGAGATGCTGGGCCTCTGGAGCTGGATGTGCTAAAAAGAGTACTCTGAAGAACAGTCATTTAGAAACCAAAGATCATCTATGTTGGATTCTAACTCTCATTTTATTTCACATCTCTTTTGTAACTAGTCTAAGTTTTCTGACTTCACCTCCTAACAACTTTATCCTCCTCCTATTTTACACTGATGTAAGTAGGAGCAATTGCCCATGACACCCTACTATTATTTCTGCTCTTACAGAGATTTCACTTCACTTTGCCACTCACATTTTGTCTGCAAGAAAGTCAATCTATTTCTCATCACTTAATAAAGGTTGTCACTTATGGCTTTATGTAGAGTTTTGATTTCTCATTTTTCATAAAGCTCCTGAACTCGCAATTTTTATAGAAATAGCTTTCATAAAAGCACCAGATCACCTGTGTTAACAAAGGAATTGTCCTGAAATCATCCTTTACATGCTAGGAGAAAAGGGGGCTGATCGATGGTATATCTGAGCACACAGTTGCTTACCTGCACTACTACAAAACTGGCAGGGGTTTTGTCTTAAAAGCTTTAATCAGTGCTGTAAATGTTGAACTGGTTTCTGACCAAGGAACTTGCTGAATGCTTCTGCTATTTTTTTCCAGTTACAGTTTAACAAAGTTCGTATCAGTTCAGCTTCAATATGTGCCACCTTAACAGTGGGGATCACTGTTTGAATCCCTGGCCTAAAGCACCTCTAGCAGCACAGTATGAGCATCAAGGGGTTTTATGCTTCCTGCAAGCCTGCAGCACCAGCTTGAGGAGGGCACCATGGGGCAGCCCAAACTAGCCTATGGTTTGCAGCAGGGGCTGCACACTGGCTGGGGATGAGTTGGGGCAACTGAACAAGCTGGGAGATCATGCTGGCAAAAACCAACAGTCCCTGGATTCTGCTGCATTATTTGAACATTCATGAAAATGGCTGAATCAAAGGATCAGTGGATTTTTACCCTCAGAGTATTTATTCTGGGCATGGGTTGAAACAGGTTTGCATGACTTGCAGTGTTTACCTTTCCTAGAAGATTTCCCGATGCTCTGGCGTGAACGTGGTTTTCTCTACATCTCCCACTACCACAAGGAACAGAAGTCAGGATATTCCAGATTAAATGCACAAACAAGCCCCCTCGTGTTTGTACAGAAGCTATTTTTGTGCTCAAATTAAAACTCCACATTTTAAAGTAGGAACCAACTAAAGTAAAATGCCACCACAGATTCAGAATGGGAAAGATCTCACGTTTACAGGCTTAGGTCACAGGTAGTTAAAACATAGAATTGACATCCCTGGTGCAGCAAAGGATGGTCCTGTTCACAACACATGAATGATGCCTACTCAACCCCATTGCCCATGGACTTGCAGTGGGGGATGTACACTCAGGCCCTGCTCTATCATCCACCTTAATGAAAAGCATGTCAGGGAACTACAGAAGAGAATTAAAATGTGAAAGATGCTAGTTTTAAGCATGTGAGCTGACACTTTAAAATGTAGAATTGTTATTTCTGAGAGGAAACACCTAAGAGAGGTGAACTGGACTCTTGCTGACGCCATGCAAAATGTAAGTATTTCAAACAAAACACATTTTGGCTGTCAGATGTAGAAGGGGAAGGCAGAAAATCTCAAAGAGGAAAAAAAAAAAAAAAAATCCTTTTCGATCTTCAGAAGATAGATCAGAAGAAAAAATATTTCCATTTCATTCATACCCAGGCCACCATGACCCTAAGGCCACCAGAAGAACAGCACAAGGAAGATTTACTAATTTCCTTTTTATTGCCACATTCTTGCATATAAATGCTACTGTTACTGCTTCACCACCCAGCTTTATTGCATACAATGAATCAAAGCACTAAAAATGCCACACAGCATAGAAAATGGGATGTATCAAAGTAATGGACTCAGCAATGTACAGTATGTACTTTGAGAAGCTGTAAATGCTCTATCAAATATTTATTCCCCACTCTAGTTTACTGAAACATAAAAGTATGAAAAAATCAGCTGCAAGAGGTATATGTTAAAACCCACTGACAATTTTTTTGAGGGATTTTCATCCTAAGTGTGAAAAAATAAACATCTTCAAGGCAATAAAAAGTATTACAGCAAAACTCCCCTTCAGTGTGAAAAATACTGACAACTGTTCTTTTGTTACCCAGATATTAGATGAAAAAATTAAGACGCTTTAGCTACTTACAACAAGTGATATTCTGCACAGTTTCATTAGCTCTTGGCAACTGAATGTATCTATTATAGAAACAGTGACTGCACCATTGATAATCAGCTTTTGCAGCACCACATTTTAACTGTTGCTACTAACGTTTAGTTCTCTATGAACCAAAAAGATCCAAATTCTGCCTCCATCCCTACACAGCATGTAATGAAAATCCATGCTGGCTTCTACACTGAACTGGCAGATATCAGAGATTCTCCAGTGTACTGCATTACTCTAGGGGTAACCAAAAAATCTAACTCTACCCCATGTGCACAAGATTATGACAAGAGCTTTCAAACGAGGGAGCCAATAGTTTCACATTTCCTTGCTAAAGTATAGCCCCAAAAATGTCACAGGCATGAGGAAAACACTGGCTAAAAGTCTTTTTAAGTTACATTCAAAACCACAAATATGAAGAATATTCTCAGCTTGCTTTTCCCAGACAAATTGTGAATAAACACACTTTCCTCAGTTGAGGAAGTATGTCAGTATGCATAGGCTTTCTGTTAGTTTCCTCATTTATTATTACTACAAATATTTTTTTTCTCTCTCCCCCCACACTGCCTACACTGGCTCTTTGAAAAAAAAAAAATGTTTTAAATATCTTAATTTACTTTTTATTCCTTTCACTATTGCTTCACTGCTCTGCTGAGTAACTTTGCAGTTTGATGCTCACTATTCCCAACAGGGAATGGAACAAGGAAACAAACAGAAGTCCTTAACTGGTTTTGCAGCAGCAGTATTTTGGGGTACATCACTTACCACCCAAGGTTTGTCACAGAAGTTGTAGATGGACTCCAGGGAGTTAACACTGGGGATGCCTGCAAACTGCATTCCAATGATCAAGTTACGGAAATCTTCGTTTTCTGCCATGCTGAATGAATGTTGTCGAACCAGGACAAAATCAGGCTTGAAGGACCTGGCAAGGAAGAGATATGGTGCTAATTGTTAGTCATCAAATGGTTTTTCCTTCAACAGCAAGATCTTCAAAGGGAAAAATGCCTGACTGATGGATAGAAAAGCAGTAAGAGCTCAAAACAAGGGTGAATGCTACGAGACAGAAATCATTATAATGGCTTTAGGAAAATCTGAACAGTTAAGAAAATATGAGCATCCAATATTGTGAGAGACACGTTATGATGGCTTCTCAGGCTCTTCTCCTTCTTAACAATAAATGATATAGAGAAATCCTGAGGATGTTCTTAGTTTACATGCACTAGCTCTCCTCAGCAATGACAACCAAAACCAAATGTCTCTGACAAAAACCTAAGCTTCTCAGGAACAATTTTTTTCTTTCACAACTCCTGTCAGGCTGTTTTAAAGACAGTAAGAAATGAAGCAACCCCACTGCTTGCCAAAGGAATCATACCACAACTGGAGATAATCACAATTCAACTGTCTATCAAGACACTAAAAAGTTTAGAAATTCATTTTGATAACTGCACTTTATTTTCCTTTTACTCTCTTGTATCTAACCAGGATTTTCCCTTTGCAACCTCCATGGCTCCTTGTCCTAGCACCACACACCGTTGAGAAGAGTGTGACACCATCTTGACCTCACTCAAACCCTGACATTTACTCACTGAAGAAAGGTTATGGTAAATAGAAGACAAATCAACAGCACAGAGTCACTAGTATAGCAGCAACTTCCTCCTAAACTTGACTGTTGAAAGATTCTCCTCCTTATTCAAATTCTATAGGTGGAAAAAACACTGACTAGCTTGAAGCTATCAACCTCCTGAAAAAAGGGTAAATTTAATTAGGGTTGTAAATTAGTGTAATTGCCTACATGCCTTGAATAAACAAAACCTGTATACTGCAGTGAAGAATTCTGAAGATTACAAAACAATTCAGAAATCTCACTCTAAGAAAAGTGAAACAAGCCAACTAAAATTCATGGTGAAATTGCCTAAGCAGTTTGGAGATTGCAGCCTGAGTGCAGTAGTCAAAGGATGTTAGTGGATTAGTTGGCTTGATTTGGGAAAAGCAGCGTTGTATAGATCTGTGGTCAAGTCATGAAAATGGCACTGCAGACCCACCATCAGAACTTGTAAAGAAATGCTTGTCCTCAACAAGGTGCCCAAAAAATATTAGTAGCATAGTTCTGAGAAATCTAGGCTTCATAGTCGTGTGCCAAGAGTTTGAAACAAGGAAACTCAGTTGACTAGCACAGCATGAGCAGAACACTTGGAGGAGCAATGATGCCTTACTCAGAATTGCAGAGCAGTCGGTGAAAGAAGAGATCACCTCTATTGTTTAAAATACTGCTAAGGGGGTGACAGTCATCTCCAAGCCAGCACTGTGATTTTAAATGAAAGAACAGAAAGTGTCACTTAAAATATCCATTTAATTAAATTGGGGACTGTACTTTTAAAAAATATAAATTATTTATTTTGCTTCGCAAAAACACCTCAAATGGACACGATGCATGTACATAATTGTTCTGGTTCTGTAATTATTGCAGGATAGAACAACTGTGAAGGTCATGAGAAAAATTTCAATCATGGCTCAAGTATTTTTAAGAGCCAAAATCTCAGCATTATGTAGCGAGGTATCTTTTCTCATGCTTTGATTTTTGTTCACAATAATGAAACAAGCAGGTGCCTGTTACAGTGTTTCCTTCTAAACTAAGGCAGCAGAATTTTGTCACTAAAATGTCTATCATTTTACTGGCTAACATTTGACTCATAAATCTGTTATTACTGTGAGGTCACTTTGGATCTCACATTAATAACACCTAAGACTTTTCATCTCAGCATACAGGCCTTTTTGGTAATATGCTCATAGACCATATTCAGTGTGAATTTTGATACTAATGGGACCTGCTGTTCCTCCCATCTCTGTTGATCATTGAGACAGACAGAAACAAAGGAATGTGCCACACATCCTCTTGTCTGAGCCACACTTAAGGCTGGATTTCAAATGAAGTTTCTTCTCAAGGGAACACTTGAAGTAATATTCATCAGTATCTCCTCATTCCTTAGGGACACAAGCACCACATTCCAAGCTTCAAGCAATGAACTTCACAAACCCACTAGGCTGAAAGGAACTAGCACTTATCTGAAGATACAAAAAATTTATGAAACATACTTTTGTTTTGCAAAAACATTCTGTGTCTCCAGCTAATTTACCCTGTAAACTGTCCCATCATGTCTGCATATCCTCCTCCCACCAGAAGGGATGCACACATATGCAAGCATCTCCCACACATTTGAGTGAAATTTATCTACTACAGGTAGTTCTGTTTAGTTAAATAAATCACCCATGAAACTACCAACACGATAAAATCCTTTGTCATCTCATTATCAGCATTATCTGATGACACAAGATTTCTGTTTCTTAATATAAGCAGCAGTTTTACCAAGTTTTCTCATAAACTCCAAACACACATCTTTGCAGATTATATCTTCTGGAGGTTCCCAACACACATGAAGTATTGGAAATTTCTCTACAGAAATGCCATTAGGGAGCAGTGATTAAGATTTCCTGGCTCCAAAACTTCTATAATTGGGGAGGGGGAAAACCCACCCACCCACAAAAAAAACCCTAAAAAAATAAGATATTTTACTCATCTAAGGAAATAATCTTGTGGATTTGGCATAAGTGGTTGTTGTATTAAGCTGCTGTATTTTTAGAACACACAAGAGATTAAACAGTTGTGAGTTTTAAAGCATAAACTACACATACTTTCATTTTTTTTCCCCCAGTTTTTTTTTTTACATCAATGAGAAGAAATTTACAAATGTTTTATTTGGACAGATGTTGTGCAAAAACATGAAGGCACAAGGCATGCTGTATGCTGTCCAGTTCCCTGAACTCTAAAGATAAACATAAGCAGTAAGCTACCAGGTCAAGGTTTGAGCCACCTCTCTCAATGCAATTGTTCAGCCAAAAAGCAGCTACATCTAACTCATGCCTAACTACACTGGCCAAAATAGGAGTAATTCCCACAAGTCAGATGAAAGAGGATTGTCTGAAATAATTTTGCTAATACATATTTAAGCTTTTACTTTGCTCATATAAAGACTTGTTTTCTTCCCTACCCTGCCTTAAATTGGAATACTCATTTTTTGACAAAACAGCCGATTGGGAAATCTCAGGCTTTTAAATGGAAATCTTTCAAATAAACAGTGATATTCCAGTAACTATCCTGAGAGAAGTGCTGTGACTTGGCCTGTTTCAATAGAAAATAGTCAAAACTGGAAAAAAATGCTGCTCATCTGGAAAGGTCTGGCATGTACCAAATCACCAAGACTGTCTTTATTACTAAAGCAAAGATAAGACCCAAATCAGTAACTCCCAGTCATGTATTCTTTATACCAGACTTCATTCCCTTAATCAAACCCATCTTTCATGTGATCCTCCCTCTCACAAACAGGACCTAAACACTTTCCACTCTTCATGCCAATGACTGAGGTGTGTTGCATCAGACAAAACCCCTGTTGTGCATACAATCACTCCGTGCTTTTCACACAAACCCATTATGACATTTATTGCTTTTTTTGCTGTTATTCTATTTAGTTTTTCTTACCTGACAACCTTAGTGCCATTTCGAAATACTTGGATATCTACTGCATAATTGCCATCAGCATGGGCTATCAAGTTGATTTCTGAAAATTCTGCCTAAAAAAAGAAGACTCACATTAGTCAGTCTTGTTTATTTCACCTTTATTTTCCTAAGTCTCTTCTTTTAAGCATTTATATTTGAACTGACAATATCCATTTGAAATATAATGAGCATTGAAAACAGATACTAATCCAGCAGTACATGCCTCATGACACATCAGTTTTTAATAAATGTTACTACAAATGAAGCAATAAGTAAATAACTTCACAGAAAAGGGCTGTGGAGCAGCAGCAAGTGCATTTCCTCACTCATGTCTGCACAGAAGTGGAGATTATACTGTTGCTTTCTATGGTGTTATCACATAGAACCACACAGACTCACAAACATTTATGTACAGTTTTGAAGAAAACAGTACAGAAGCACTGTTAAAATAGAGTATTTTCTTATAACTTTTAGTGCCTCAATATACTTCACCCCTTTCAATTTCATTTGTGTACATTTATTCTTCCTTTTCAAAGATCTGGTGGTAATAAACAATTGACTCACAAAACTGACAAATAAAAAACTTAGTTTTAAAACAATCTTCTCACACTGGAAACATGGAACTTAAAAAGAGTCACTTCCATACTCTGAATCTAGTTATGTGAACGGAAAGGACAGGATGTTTTTCGTTTATCCACAGTCTTTCATTGGCTCAGACTCTCAAGGCACTTTACAATAACATTGCACAGCAGAATAATTGAAATGCAGCCAGCTGTCTTCTGGTGGGTAAATAAAAGCGTCTTTGCTATCCTGGCCACTAATACAGAACAGAGTGTGTCAGAATTCTCATTAGTCTCCTCTTGAAAAATAGTATCACTGAAAGTCTCCCTAAGATCTGTGTGAGGCTTTTGGAATTTAGTGCTCAGTTAAGGCAAGCGTTGTCTACTCTAACCACAGCCCCAACTCCCCAGCTCAGGTATGTGCTTGATTTCAAGCATGGATGTCTCTCCATTAAACCCCAAATGCTTATATACTTTCCTGGATCAATGCTCTAAACACAAGGGGCAGTTATAAAATTGTAAAAACAGTGCAAACATTGAGAGACTGAAATATTTGTGTAAGTGCTGACAATGTTCAAGAATGACTTAAAGTTTATTTAATGAGACTGGCAACCAATCTCTCCAATTAATAAGTCATATTAAAGAATTGCAAGGATTCTCATTATAGATTTTGTAGTTTAAAAGCTTAGTACATGATAGAAAATACTGTATGTTATAGGTAGGTTGCTGTAAGTAGTGTAAAAATGTGAGAGCTCTCTGGTATTAGCAAAAGAACACTACAGGAGTTGTTAGTAACTATCTATATACTGTTGGCCTAGGGGTGACACTTAACAAAGGGATTAGCAGGTGTCAGAAACTTCCAGTCTCTTATTGATTAAAGGTGGCTCTGGTCCCACAAGAGACCATATGAAGGAACTTCTGGGCTTACACAGAGCCTTTGTTAATACTAAAGAGGCAGTGTGCATGATGGCAACTGCATGATCTGGTCTAGGTGTGAATGGTATTTTGGGACAAAATAGCTTGCCTTCTTTCTCCCATCTCTCTCTCAATACTCTCTAAGATCCCTGGCAAAGCTTTCCATGTTTCCAAGCCAAGGACATCAGCAGATATTCAATGGTGTAAAGAATGGAGCAAAGCTAGACACTGTATTATTACAGTGAATTTTGATAAGCTCAGTCCACACAGCTAGTGATCATTTTCTCTCACTCATTAAAATTTCAATGACAAAATAACTCAGTTAAGTACTGAAGCTTCTTACAGCAGCATCTATTTGTAGAATTAATTATTGAAATGCAATGAAAAGACTTATTTACTTCTCTAGTTCCAGGTAACTAGTGCAAATAAAATAGTAATAATTCTAATGTACCCCGAATTACATCTTCATATTTATTCAGTGCTTTTTAAAAAAACCCACATGCAACCAGAGTGTGTGTATGTTCTCAAGTGAAAGAATCAGTCACACAGAAATGCAACATGGTATTCGTGGAGTGTCTGGCAAATTCACAGGACAGGCTCTAAGAACTTTTGAACATGGACATGTTTTTGAAGCTGTGCAAATCATGGTCAGAATTCTCCAAATAAGAAAAAAGTCACATTAGATTGAAACAATTAAATCTTTGAGTGTTCTAATTCAAGGTTGAGGTTTTTTAAGTCCAAAGGACAACATCTTTATGTATACATATAGAATGACAGAATCATTTAGGTTCAGGCTTAAGCTCACTGAGTCCAGCCATAAACCTACCACTACCAAGTGTCATGGATAAACTATTTTCCTAAGCTCCACATCTACATGTCTTTTAAATACCTCCAGGGAAGTATGTATTTATACATATACATGTCTTCGTATAAATACACAAATACAAAATAACTTTCAGATGAAGTAATTTAGTTACCTGTTCAACCTTTATGTCATATTCTCCATGGACCTTTTTTCCACGGAAAGCCTTGGCCCTGCAGGAAAAAAGGGAGAGAAGAAATCAAGGATATATGTATCTGTAAATCAGGAGCTACACAAAAGCTTTCTGGAAGGCCTCGAGTGTCTTGAGAATACACGTATATACTAAGTGAATGTACCAAATATCACAGAAACAATTCTCCTTCCTTTGACATCCTGGGACCCTCAACACTACACCACACAGTATTTTGGGATAAAAAGCATGTATAATGTGATTTTCAACATTAAAGGGTATTGGTACACTAGAGTGTACCAAAACACATATTTCACTGTAAGTTATTAATAGAAAATGAGTACCTCAAAAAAGATGGAATCTTTCTCTCCTTAAAGTCCACAATTCCCGTACACATTCATTTCCATGTGAAGAACATCCAACAAGTACTTCTTTATCCACTCAGTTTATTTAGAAAAACTAGTTTACTGGAAACACTATGCTTACAGATTTTACATTGTTTTTAAAAAAAGCATCAGAGGTCCTGGAGACTGTTTTCACCAACTTTGAAAATGCCTGATTCACTAATCAGTTTTGCTTCTTGCAGACTATAACTTGAGACAATGGAATTAATGCGAAGGAGGTTTTATGAGTAATTATTATGCATCAGGATTGCTGTGATAAACCAGAACCAAATTTAATTATCCAGTTTCCCAGGCCTAACAAGCAGACACTCTCCTGGGAACTGGTCAGTTTCGTGCCTTAAGCAGCAGGTATTTGCTTTGGAGTAACAGGGAATTAAAAATAAATAAATCTAGGGAACTACTTTGACACTCTGGTATCAGTGTCTCCGCATCTTCCTTGCTCAAGCCAAAGCTTGGAGATCCTTTCTCACTTTTATTATACGTAAGCATAAATCTACTGCACAATCAACAAACAGAACATCACAGAACACCTTCTCAAGTGCTAAAACCCCCTAACTTTGTCCATTTTCAACATCTGACAAAACACAGCTATAATAAAGTAAATCTACCTCATCAATGAAAGTCATGTATATACTATGTATTGAAACAATTCATTATTGCTTTTGGAAAAATCCTTTTGTTACTGAGGTTCAGAAGAGTTTCACTGTTGGTTTCAGTAGCAGAAGAGCCAAACTTGGTAACAATCAAGTGAGAACACTGCCTTTGGTAATAGGTTCCTGAAGGTTACCTTAGTTATTACAGATAATGGATGACAGAAAGCAGAGACAGTGTTTATACTGAAATGGCATACTCAAATTTTGTCCAACAATTAATTCCATACAAAGACATCAGTTGGTAATAAGCTAACAATGAGGACATTAGTGGTTCACACTGTTTTCTTGTAATAAACACACATGAAATACGAAATTTGAAATATATTGTTTTATTATAGGTGAATACTCAGGATAATGTTACAAAATATTTTTGCCAATACCAAAAGCAGAATCTCAATGCACTGCATCACAAATCTAACAAAGAAATACTATTAACCTCTTATTTTTCTTTTCAAATTTGTTTTCAAATTTCATATGAATGTGAAAATTATCTCTTGCAAACTTTGAAGATGCCTGGACATGGCTCAAGTTTTATAATGCTGTTGATGCTGAAGCATCAGATGCACCATGTTAATTTTAATAGGTGCAGGAAAACCAAAGACATCGACATTAGCCCCGGAGAAATCCACAAAAGCCACAGACCAGAAAGAAAGGTCTCATGTTCAAAGATAACACCACAGCTGCCTCAGGAGAAAAGCAACCAACTCATAGCAACAGATACTTTAAATTTCACTTTGAAAAACTAAGATTTATCTCTTTGAAAAAGATTTAAAACTCCAATTCTGATCCCCATGCATTTAACAGTAAGGTTACTATGGAATTTTACTGGGAATGGACTAAGCACCTAGATTTTACAATGTGGCAACAGGTGAGGTAAATGTATTATTGGACATCAAGTAATGTAAATTTAATGTAAAGATAATTTAAATATAATTTAATTTACATTATTTAAATTGAATTTAATTTAAATAGCCTTTTGAACACTGAAAAATAAGCTTAGATTAACACTCAGTTCCTTCAAAACTTAAACACAACAGTAAAGCTCCAAAATGCTTACCCTAACAAATATCAGCAGCTGACTGCTGCCTTATGAGAGAAAATGAAAACAGGAAATCACAAAGAGCCAAAGACAGGCTCTTCAATTCTTTAGCCTTAAGTCCACTGCACACATAGGAATGTGCTCAAAATGTTAGTTAAGGTGAGATACTAATCCCTTAGATTCACTCTTCCTACTAAGATCATTTAGATGAAGCACTCTTTAAACAACTACACTCTGGCATGATCCACATTTCAACAAATTACTTCAGCTTTGAAAATAAATAAGTACTGAAGTTAGGAAATCTGGGGCTTGAAAATAAATGTGACATTTAAACATCCAAAAAGACTTGATTTTGAAGTAGCTTTAATCAACAGCTTTTATTAAAATGTAAACTCTTTAATAATATTTGCCACATGTTGAGCCACAAATGCAGGAATTTCTCCTGACATCCCTAAAAAATAACTTACAACAATAAGTAATTTCAGAACAACCTAGATATTCTTAGTATGACCTGGCTGTGCACTAAAACCAAGTTTCCATGTTATTTACTCTACTTAGGAAATTGCAATATGAGAAATGTGCAAGCCTATCATAAAGACATTTACTAGGTTCTTAATATATATATATATTTACTGAGGGGAGATGGGGAACCAAATTCTTTTGTATTATTCACAGAAAATTGAAATTCCTGTTACGCCTTATGCCTCTTGGTACTGAGCCTGGAGGATCTGCATAGCAGCTCTGGGAGCATCTGCACACTCAGGTAGGCATATTCTCAAGGTCAGGATCTTCAAGAGAAGAGCTGAGAGGAGCTGTCAGCATGAGTCAAGCTACCAGAACAAACACTCCCCAGTTCAAACACCATTTGGCTGCTGGTTGCTGACAGTCCCTGGCATTGTGTGTAGCAAAGAGAAGGAAAGCAAACTGTGCCATTATTCATCTGGGACACACAGGGTAAAGAGCTGCTTTCCAAAGCCTCAGTATAGGGAAAACAGCTGCTAATATGAGTGCAGCCTACTGGAGCTATTAACATGACCTCTTATAGTCAGGTTCTTTACAAAACACGTGAATTTTTTATGCATTTCTTGCTTGGCAAGTCATTTTCTGGATTAGTATTTTGCACATTGAAAATTCATAGTATCACAGAATTCCAGAATGGTTTGGGTTGGAAGGGGCCTTCAAGATCATCCAGATCCAGCCCCCCTGCATGGGCAGGGACACCTCCCACCAGACCAAGTTGCTCCAAGCCCCATCCAACCTGCCCTTCAACACTTCCAGGGATGGGGCTTCCAAAAATTCCCTGGGCAACCTGTTTCACTGTCTCACCACTCTCACAGGAAATAATTTCTTCCTTGATGTCTCACCTAAATCTCCCCTCTTCCAGTTTAAAACCATTATCCTGAATTTTTTATGCATTTCTTGCTTGGCAAGTCATTTTCTGGATTAGTATTTTGCACATTGAAAATTCATAGTATCACAGAATCCCAGAATGGTTTGTGTTGGAAGGGGCCTTCAAGATCATCCAGATCCAGCCCCCCTGCATGGGCAGGGACACCTCCCACCAGACCAAGTTGCTCCAAGCCCCATCCAACCTGCCCTTCAACACTGCCAGGGATGGGGCTTCCAAAAATTCCCTGGGCAACCTGTTTCACTGTCTCACCACTCTCACAGGAAATAATTTCTTCCTTGATGTCTCATCTAAATCTCCCCTCTTCCAGTTTAAAACCATTATCCCTTGTCCTATCACTACACACCTTGGTAAAATTAAACAACTACAGAATATACAGTTACCATAGATGAAGTCTAATACAAACTCATATTGGTTCACTGTCCTTGCCCAAGTTCATTAAGCAAGCAGTAATGACTAAAAGTGTTCCAAATACTTTAAAAAAACCCCACCAGAAATATTTCCCCCTTAAGCTACATGTATTTCTGCAGTATCTTATTATGCCAGGAAATCAATGTGATTTCAGCTCATATAAATGAACAAAACATCAAAACTGGTACTACTTTTGATTGGCAGCAAAATCAATAGGAAAATCATCTGCTATGTGCAAGAGGTTTATAGCACTTGGATTTGAATTCTTTCGCACCACAATGATGACCCTTATCAGCAACAGTCTTTATGAAAGTCAAGTGCACACCCAGTGAGTATATGGGGTCCAGTTCTGCCAATCACTGCTCCTGTGTGTAAATCTCCTCTTCTCCCACCTCTGCGCTTCCTTAAACACTTCCATTGGCACCTACCAGTTTAGCACAGCACTTCCCAGCTGTTTTCTGTGCAAGTAACAAGGTGCACAGGAATCAGTTCTGTGTAAACACCAATTTCTGGGCATGTCTCAGCAGTGAACTAGGCCTGAGCCTATCAATAAGACTATGCTCCAAAATAACTGTAGTGCTAAGTTTACTACAACAGGGCAAGACTTTATTCATTATTTAGAACAGTAGCACCCTCTAGAGTACACCAACTGCAGACTCTTAACATTTATAAACAGATACCTCACTTCAAGCAAGGTAGTGTGCATATCTATACGTGTGTGTGAATGTACATATACACACACACATACACACAGACACCCACAGTAGGCTCAGATACCTGTCTTGCTGCAATTGCCACAGGCACATAAAGATTTTGGCACACTCTTGCCACAGAACCAGCCAGACTTCCACAAACTTAGTTTGGTAAACTAGCCTGAGTGAGAGAATAGGAAATGTTGAAAAGAAAGCAAACCTGGTCTTCAAGCTCACATCTGGCTAGAAATAACTAATTTTTTAATAAAATTTGGGGAGGAAAAAAAAAGGAAGAAAAAAAAGTAGATTCAGTCTCAAAGCTTTTGTAACAGAATTAACTGAATTAGGAACAATCCACATCCAGCAGTTGGTATTTTCTATTCATTTAATGAAAATACAACTATGCCTAGGACATCATCAACATCCTATTTGCACT